ACATTGCTGGCCATGTGGCTCAGTGGTAGAGCACGTGCATAACGAGTACGAATCTCTAGTTTCATTCTCAGCACAATAACAAACTAAATAAAAAGCTCCATGATAATCTATAAGTGGCCCCAGGTGAATATTCACTTTAAAATAACAAAGGAAACAGATTTTTAAAAACTCACATGAAAACCATAGATTTTGAGAATATTTCTGTAAAATATATCATTTTTAAATTTCAAGATTTTTATTTCAGAAGGTAGAAAAATCCATTTGTCATGCTTTAACATCTGCTACATTACTTCCTGCTTTATCAACACAGTTCATACGCTACCACATGCAGACTTGTGTGCTTGTGTTATTTGTACACAGATTAGCTCCTATAGAAGGGTGTTCAAATTTTTGATCATGTACCCCAATGGGGAAAATTTATTTACTTATAAATATATATATATGCCCTAGCAAGCTAATAGGATAGGTAATTACTTAATATAAGAGAACATCTGAATGACAGAATAAGTTTAAAGTAAGCAGAAGTTCTAACATATCCCTCCTGCATACCAATGGCCCATCTGGCTGGGTCCTGCCGCTCTTTAGAGACCACTGGCCACCAGTAGGGTTGCAGTAGGGAGGAGGACAAGAGAAAGAGATAGGCAGGAGGAAGGGATGACATAGCAGAGAGATAAAACTTAAAGAATTGAAACATGAAGGTCACATAGCACTGGGGGGAATGAAATAGCCAATGAAGTCACATGCAGCCATATGTGGGTTGAACTTTGCTTTTAGCTTCTGTAACCTGCTTGCAAGTGTATATAAGGTGAGACCTCTTTGTTTTCGGGGATCAGCCTTTGAACATGAATCGGCTGAGTCCTTGCCTCAGTGTCTCTTATCTCAAATTGAGATTCTTACAACAGAATCTCTTGAACCTCCCAGTTGACTGTACACCATCTTGGGCACATCTTCCTAACCTCTGCACAAGATAGTAAACTTTTGGAAAGACAACTTGTGTGTCTCAGTTTATCTGCAAGCTAAGATAATAAAAGCACCTGCCTCCCAGAAGGCTGTGGAAATGAAGTGAACTGTTCCCAAGTGCCACAGGAGAAAGTGCTGTCTCTGTAGCCATAGCTGTGGTTGGCTGTTGCATGCACTGCTGCTTTTTTGAATGACTGCTGAGTTAAAGCTGATTTTTTAGGAATTCAAATTGTTTCAATAAAATAACACATGGAGATTTGTTACACTTCCTTATCAGTGTGCTTTTTCCTACACTGTTGTCCTCAGGCTGGGACTAACTGCATGGGTTTTCAGATTTTTTGCAGTTGCAAATGAGTATTTTTGCACAAGCAAGTGGGTAGTTTTCAGGGAAGGATGCAATACTTTGCATTTAAAGGTCATTCATCTCTTATTCTACTTTCCCAAGTGGTGATTATCAGTCCTGGGTACACAGTGGAGTCATGTGGTGACCTTTAAATACAGATACTTAGGCCCCAGGGATCCCACCTGTGTAAAAGTTTCACAGAGGACATGGAAGTACACTCTGGGATTGAGAGCCACTGAGCAAGAGAAACAGCTTCCCTTATGGCCCTTGTTCTCAACTCTGATGGTACATTTCAATCACCAAGGGAGTTAAAAAAAACAAAGGCTGGGCACTCTGACCTGCCAATGCTGTCAGAGCATAAGTAGTTCTTAAAAGGTCCCAGACGTTCTTTTAGGAAGTCAGGGTTAAGAATGATTGCTCTTTGTAAACACAATACTGAAGTAAAGCAGGTGATAACCACAGCAAGAACTGGGCAGCAGGATTGGTAATAGATGGCAAAGGCTCTCCAGAGGCTGATGAAGGTTGAGTTAATACTCAGCTGTTTCTGATTTAGTTTCCCTAGCCTGGGCTAGGCCGGCAAACCTACCTGGGAAAGAGTAGTCTGTTACTCCTTGAGTGGAGTGGGCTACTAGTTACTAGGGTAACTCTTTTCAAGGATGAAATGCTATACAAACTTGCTATTATTGTCCTTTTCCTCTACTGGTTCTTATCTCTACCAGCCACCTTGTGAAATGAGATACATCTTGCCTAGCACTGTGCAATCCTATTGGTCTTATCTCCCAAGTAGGCACACTTTTTTTTTTCCATGAGACAGTATTTCTACCAAAGCAGGCCAGTATGGGGGAAAAGAGGAGGTGGCAAAGAAGAATCACTAAAATTATGCTAGGTAAGAAACAGAAATCTTCCAAATGCTTGATTCACCTAGATATTTGCACACAGCTAATATGTGAGTTAGGTTTATCATAATATGTACCATTTAAATCTCAAAGCTGCTTTAAGAGTGTATTTTACAGACAAAAATATTTAAGGGAGGTTAAGGGGTTTACCCAAGATGAGACCTGAACAAAGAACTCCTAATTTTAAGTCCAGGGCTTATTTGACTCTGTGTGTCTTGGAAGCTGGTAACTTCCTGGCATCATTTTGTCACTGAAGAGAACCTACAGTTGGCCCTTGGGAGATTACAGTTCATTGCTCCCAGAGCCTGAAGACAAGACTATGCTCTGGGAAGCTATATAAATATCATGAAATGAGTAAATGTAGTTATTACAAGATGCAACTGAAGGGAAGGTGACTTCCAAAGTAGTATCATTCAAAGGAGCCACGGGATGTGACCTGAAATCACAAGTCTGAAATAAGACTGTATCTGAATAGAGTGTGCAACAGGAAAGTTAGCAGAGTTCTCTTTTTTGCCTAATGGAATTCCTGAAGAGAGGGTGTCAGACTAGTGGCTGGGATCAAACGAATTCCTTGGCTTTAATTCCAGCCTCAAATAATCTTTCTAGCTTCCCAGGGACTTTCCTACACAGAAGCTCTTGACTCAGGTCACATGAGTATTCTGGTCTTTATGGTAGTTATGCTATAAATATGAAATAGCATCTTGATTTACACAATTCTCTGTTTGGTTAGTATGAGTTAGTTCTTCTAATGATTACCTCCTGCTATCTGAACAAGAGTTTGTAGGCCTGCAAAGCTATGATCACATCTATCCTGCTACTTGATGTTGACATCAAGGTACTTCAACCCTGTGAGACCTGGGACTTCTCTGATCCACCATAGCCTTTCCTTACTCAACTGATCCTTCTAGAACAGAACAGTGGTATGAACTACTGAGCCAAGAACCACCTCTACACTTAAAAGCTTTGAATATGGAGAAGATGACTCCATATTGATTGGCTCAGGCTTTCCTATGTAAAGCCATCCTTTGCAAAGTTTGACTATTTGAGCAATCATTTTTAAAACAATGGTATAACGCAGATCTCTATTACAGAATTTTAGCAGATGCTGTGAAGGAACAAATTCCTTCACTGGGCTCCTGGGAATGGAACTTAACTCCCCTTCATTGTATCCTCTGTGACACCTATCGTTACTATTTGTTCTACTGTGAGTTAAACCATGTGCTTCTTGCCAACACCCCTACTACTTCTGAGTTGTATGAATTCTCATTTTATGACCTGTTGTTCAGCATCTAATTTCTGATACCTTCAGTTTTGACTTGTGTTGTTCTTTCAAAAACTTCAATGAGTCTTTTAAGTCACTTTTAAACATAATTTTTACCTACGGTGTGGCTACATTTTTTTTTCTGGTGAGTTTCCACTATCAGTTGGAATATTACTTGGTTTGTGCTATATAGCTGAATGTTTCTGCTCTCCTCCAAAAATTCATGTGCTGGAATCTTAATCCCTAATGCAAATGTCAGAAGTTGGGGCCTTTTAGGAGGTGTGCAGGAATGGACTAATGCCATGACAAAAGGGCTCACTAGAGGGGGGTTTGTTTTCTTGGCTTTCTACCTTCCACCATGTGGACACTGTAAAGACCCATGCCTGATAGTGGTACCTTGATCTTAGACCTTCCCAGCCTCCATAACTGTGAGATAATACATTTCTTTTAAACTTACCCAGTCTTGGCTGGAAGAATGGCTCAAATGGTAGAGTGCCATTATTACTGCCAAAAGTAATAATAATAATGAAAGGTAAATGATAAAAATTACCCAGTCTGTGGTATTTTGTTATAGCTGCATAAAAGAACTAAGAGAGTCTTTAGGTCTGCCTCCATTACGTAAAATCTCTTCTCTTGATGTTAAATGGCTTCTCTTTCTTCCCCAAGTTCAATCCATGTGCAGACTTTTGTCCCTGTGGATCACGAGGAGAGGACTCATGTGGAGGAGGTGGGGATGGGCCAGTGTCAATTTCTCATCTTCATGACTCCAAGGTTCTCTGCTGACATTAATGAAGGACAATACAGCCTTCCTGTGTAGCCTTTCTTTGCTTACCAGAGTCAAGTCTGGTTGGAAATATTTTTCTACTCTGTATTTCCTAGAGGTCAGTGGACCTAGTCTGAAGATTACATTTATTTTTAATGATCTTATTCACCCAGATTAGTCCACTAAGTCTCCTACCAACCCCAACCTGGTACAAAATGACCTGGACTGATGCAACAGACTATCTGCTATGGACTTTCAGCATCTCTGCATACTTATTGTAGATGTCAAGAATGCAAGGACTTGACTTTTCTTTACCCAATCCATATTTCAGGCTTGTTTACATTTAGCAACCTTAACATATGTGATAACTCCAGTTGCACAAACAAGCAGGATTGTTTCTGATTATAAAAGCAGTGAGCATCTCAAGCTGTTTTTCTCCTACAACACAACCTGTGTGCAGGCTCCTATCATTGGTCCTTTGCACTGTTCCCATAGGGTTTAAAGAGAAATAACAAACCACCAGAGTTCTGAATACAGGTTTTGATGTGAGTAACAATCCCGTGGCCTCTACCCCAGGTGTCTTGTGTACTCTGTAGCATCTCATGAATAGCACTAACAGGCTACTATGTTAGATAACAGAGACTGTAGTTATTGACAGACACCAATTTTTTTTTTCTTGGCAACTGCTAGCATTTTAGGCACTATGACTGCTCTATTAATAAATGTATTATTGGCATAATATATTACAAAAGATAATTTTCCAAAGAACCAACAACACTATAAAAATAAAAAACCCTGTGATTCCTGTGAATTTATTTGTGTGTGTCCAAGTCCGGTAATAATTTCACTGTCTGTTTGAAGTACTAAGAGTACTAAATCCAGTGCTCTGCGCCATGCCTCAATCTTTGGTGTAACAACGTCATAAACTCTTGGAACCTGCTCCAGTTTATCTGAAATAACTGAGTTAAAAATCCCACTATTTAGTTTACTATATTCATTCAAGATATAAGATGAGGGAGAGCCAGAGTCTGTGGCATTTTGTAGATGATGTTGAATGAACGTGTTGGCTTCAAAAGCTGATGAATAACCAGCAGTGTTACATATGAGAGCGGAAAGGTATTTGTGCCATCCACTTGCCAGGCATTTAAGCACAGTTGGTCTGTACACTGGGAGAGATGAGGCCATCCAAGAAGAACTGTTATGAAGCCATCCCGAACAGGCATCATTTCCTTTTGTCAGACACTGCTCAGCAAGAATTTGAAGATGGCTAAGGCACAACAGTTCAACTGCACCACCTCCAAGGAAGACCTTTTCCTCTTTTAGAGCATAATACAAACGATATGCACAAGACCAGAACCTGTCTTCTTTTGTCTGCATCTGTGCAGTGACTGGACTAGTGAGCACAGCTGTAATCAAATTAATTCCTTCTGTTTTTAACAAGATTGCCATTCTGTTCCTATCTACAACACCCAAGGGACTTCTCCACAAGGTCACAACGACCCCACTGCCCACACAGTTTTCATTCACTTGTGTAATATAGGCCACTTGCACTGCTCCCGTAGCCTCTGCAAACGCCTGCATCACACTGCCATTCACCAACCCGACCACCAGCCGTTTACTGTCCATGCATTTCTCAGTTAAGCGTTCAGACACATTTCCTTGTACCAGGACAAGGTTCACATCGAACTGTGCTAACACCTGTAATACGCAACTTGTCCAGAACTCTTCTGAGCTCTCTTCTTGAAGTTCTGTGCTATCTAATACTATCTTAATATTTGTAGACTTGTTAAATCCCAGGTGGCGATAACTCTCTGTGAGGTCACCCTCAATGAGAACTACCCGGACAGGCTGACTCTGCAATTCCTTGATCACAGCAGCACTAGATATCGGTACAACAGTGATATATCCTGGACAGACACAAGAAAAAGTTTCAGGTAAGCCTGGTAGACAGCAAGTGAAGAGTCTTGAAATGTCAAACACAAATGGCCCTGTATAGCTGCCTTGCTGAATGCATGCATTCTGATACTGCAGTCGCACTGCTGCTTCTACTAGTTCCATGCTGCTGTGGTCTCCATGATTCAAGCCCACTGCCAGCTCTTCCAAATCATCACATCTGTAAGTTCTGGGAGAAACTAAGCCATGTTGTGCTACAAATTCATGTGGTTTGCTCATGCTTTGGTTATTAGCTGTCCTATTAAAATGCCGACTGTAGGTTAGTATTGACTTTCTGCAGCAGACATCTGTACACAGACTGTTTTTCAGAGTTTGTGATGTGATTTTGTTTGCATCAATCATAGCCTGAGGTTTGAAGAATTTAGGTGATTTAACAGGCCTCTCAGGAAGATTGTAAATGGGCAATGATTGAGAAGCAACATCTTTGAGATCATGCTCTTCCCTTATCAAAGCAGTACCTGAAGGGAATTGTAGAAAAGGACACAAACAGACACTAGCTGTTTCAAGTCCAGAAAGTGTCTTTCTGTTGTCCACCTGGCCAAATATATTGTGGATGGGTACTTGAAGGGCAACTACCTCTTCACCACACAAGTTCAGGCCTTCTGACATCACTGCCACTATTATTGAAATAGGGACACCCAGATGGAGACATTCTTCAACAGCACTGCTCCATGCACCAACAAGAAACAAGAGAGTACTGGTTCCAGTTCTGTATGTGTCATTTTGTGCTTGAACTGCTTCATTGAGAAGTTGCCCCGATGCACTAGTTAAATCCAGACTCTGAAGAAGCCTCACTGTTGAACTGATTAACACACTTTCATGACACTCTTCGTCTATAATAAATTTGGATGCTTTCACTGGGCCTAGGAAAGTTCTTCCTGTTTCTGCGAATGATGAGAGTTGTTGAAGTCCCACGTGCCTTCTTTTGTTTATGACCCTGCAAGCCATCACCATGAATCATCACCTGCAGATAATAAAATAAAAACTTGGAATTTTACTCAGTGTGATTCACGGTTTAAATGCTACATAGAACAAAAAACAAGATACAGTCCCTGCTTTTGTAGGCTATAGTTTCCATTAAGTATAGTTAGTGCAATGATTCAGTATAATAATACTAATTAATTTTATTATAAAGAAAAAACAGTGCAGTTTAAAGGGAGGTCCAAGATCAGCTTGACTTACTTCATATTTTGGAATTCACATCTAAAATGAACAGTTGTGAGACAAAGATTTTTTAATTAAAAGAATTTTTAAACAAGGCACTCTCTAATTGAAAAGCCATCGATTTTAAATAAAATTGCCTGCCTTGTGAGGTATGACTCTCTTTTACTTAAAGTAGTAAAGCTAAGAGAGAATATAAACTTCAACTCTAAGAGTTTATGAATCTTTGAATAATATTTTTCAATCATAATCTTTTGAATGTCAAATATCAAAAAGCAAACAATTCAGATTTCTGCTTTTCCTTTAACAATGACCACAGCATGTGTTTTTATAAAACCTAAATTTGTTCTGAGGAGAATCACAGTTTGAGACATATCCAAAGACCAGCAGGAGACACTGTTCCTCATGAGTAGCTTCCTAAGGGCCGTTCAGAACTAAGAAGGAAGCCTACACAGCCATGGAAAGCATGTAGTGAATTGTTTGAACAGTTTTGTGAAAATTTCACTTTCATATCATAAAAACTTTTGATACACTCAGGCATATAAATGAAACATCAAAATATACTCTAGGACTCCAGACCTCAATAATCCTGAGACTCATCTTGTCTTATAACTATCTGATTTTACTGCATTTTACTGAGATTCCCCTCACATCAACAATTCCCTACTTACCTGGTTTAAATTAGATTTGTCAATGACTAAAATCACTTGCTGGCACAAATGTCCTTAAATGCCTGCCTCTCCTTCATTTCATCTTACTTACCTTGCAAAGTTACTAGTTTGAATGAACTCCAACTCTACTTCATGCTTGCTCTAGAGCAGCTGAAAAAAAAAAAAAATCTCACAAAACCATGCTCCTTTGTGTCACTTTGGATCAGTGAGCCCAACCTCAAGTGGCCCCTAATACAGCCTGGCAATCTATTTCCCTACTCCATTCAATTTTTTTTATTTTATGGTAACTGCCATCCATACATTATTTAAGACAGTTTGCCGTACAAAATTTCTTCTTATATATATTTCTTTTAAAAGCTTTAGGGTTTTAGTCTTTTTGAAATACTAAGGTGAAGTTCACTTAACATAAACTTAACTTTGGTACAATTCAGTGGCACATGCTACACTCACAATGTTGCACAGTTACTACCTCTCATCTAGTGCCAAGAAATTTCATCACCGCCAATGAAAATGCTATACTAAATAGTCACTCTGTCCCCTTCTCTCCAGCCCCTGAAAATCAAATTTGCTTTCAGTCTATATGGCTTCACCATATTTTATATATAAACATAAAAATATTTTATATAAATGAAATAATGTGTGACCTTTTATGCTTTTAATTTAGCAATTTTTAAGGTTCATCCTTAAATGAATCAGTACATCATTCCTTTTTATGGCAAAGTAACAGTCCATTGTATTTTCACATTTTGAATATCCATTCATCTGTTGATGGACATTTGGTTTTCCCCCACCTTTTGGCTATTGTGAATTGTGCTATAAAATTTATGTACAAGTATGCATTTGAATACTTGTTTTATATCCTTTTAGACAGGGTCATATGGTAATTCTATTTTAATTTTTAAGTAACTGTCAAACTGTTTCCCATAGCAGAACCTTCCCACTGGCAATGTACAGGGTTTGAATCTCCACATCCTTACTGTATTAGTTTCCTAAGGCTGTCATACTAAATTACCACAAAGGACTGGAAGGCTTAAATCAATATGCATTTATGCTGTATGGCTCTGGAGTCTAGTACCTGAAGTTAAGGTGTTGGCTGGGCAGTGCTCTCTTAAGGCTCCAGGGAAGAACCCTTTCTTGTCTTCTGGCTATTTCAGGCAGCCCCTGCCTTCTATTACTTAACTCTAATCTCTGTTTTATAATCATGATGACAGTTATCAGATTTCAGCATAATCTGGTGTGACCTCATCTTAACTAATTACAAAGACTCTATTTTCAAATGAGATTCCACGAGCACATGAACTTTCTGCGTGTGTTTATGTGTTAACACTATGCAGTCATCAGTATACTTAACACTTTGTTTTTGTAAAAGTTCAGACATTCCAGTGGATGCAAACTGCTGTCTCACTGTGGTTTTGACTTGCATTTTCCTAATGTAATGATGCTGAACATTGTTTTATGTACTTGTTGGCCATTATATATCTTCTTTGGAGAAATGTCAAGTATTTTGCCCATTTTAAAATTGGGTTGATAAGGGCTGAGTCTGGTACCACACATCTGTAACTCCACTAGGGAGGCTGAGGCAGGACAATTTATCTGTGAGTTAGAAGCTAGCCTAGGTTGTACATAGAGAGATCCTGTTCAAAACAAACAAGTTGGGTTGTTAGTTATTTTTTGGTGTTAAATTTTAAGAGTTCTTTATATACTCTGGTTACTGGACCCTTATCAAACAATAGTCAGCCCTATACATCAATGGGTTCTATATCCCTGGACCCAGCCAAATGTGGTTGGAAAATACTTTGAAACACAAACTTACATCTGTAACTAAACATGCTCAGGTATTCTTCTTATCATCATTCCTTAAACAATGCAGTGTAACAACTATTTACAGAACATTTACATTAGGCAGTATAACTAAGTGTAGATATGGTGTAAAGTGTACAGTAGAATGTGTATAGGTTATATTCAGATACTATTCTGTTTTACATAAGGGACTTATGCATAAGTGATTTTGGTATCCATGGCAGTGATACCAAGTACCTGCATGCTGAGGTACTTTCAAATATATTGTCTCATTTTATAGACTATATTTTCTACTTTTTTGATAATGCTCTTTGATATACAAAAGACTTTAGTCTTGATGAAGTCTAATTTACTAGGTTTTTGTTGTTTCATGCTCTTGGTATAATAGCTAAGGATCCACTGACAAATCCAAGGTCATATATACTTAACCCAATGTATTCTTGAAGGAGTTTTATTAAATTTATGGTTTGTTGATTAATTTTGGTATAATTTGCATGAGGTGGAGGTCCAACTTCATTCTCCTGCATGTGGATATCAAATTGTCCCAGCACCATTTGTTGAACAGCCTATTCTTTTCCCCTTGAGTAGCCTTAGCACCTTTGTCAAAATTTAATTGGCCACAGATATATGTTTATTTCTGGATTCTCAATTTAGTTCCACTGGTCTGTGTATTCACTTAAGACATATCATGCTGTTTTCATAACTGCAGCTTTGTAGTAAGTTCTGATGTCAAGTATGAGTTGCAAATGTTGTCTTTCTCTTTACATTCATGTTAATAATTCATCTTATGCTGATTTTTGTGAATGGTGTAAAGTAAGGGCTCTTTTTTCCCTTTGTTGCTCCAGAACAATTTGTTCAAAGGACAAGCTGAAAAAGACAAGACTGGCTTTTTTGCTTGTTTTTCATTTCTAACATATTTTGAGAGCTTACTACATGTGAGGCACTTTACGTTGTGTGAGGCTATATTGTGCAATGTAGCCCTCACAAATATGAGGTAGGTACTATTACTATTGAAGTAATATAGAAAATGAAGCACAATAACAAACATACAGGAGTCTCAGAGCTAGTAACTAACGACTGTGATATTACCTTCTGGCTCCCCCTCCGGTGTGACAGCATTCTACCCTCTCTTCTTCAGAATCTTCCACGCATTTCATTCTTTCAAAACCCTCAGCCATCTTCCGAGCCTTGTTCATACTCTTAACATGCATATGTCAATGTCTTTTTTAGGTGTCAGAGTCTCTGCCTAGGCTTTTCAGCACCATGTTTAAACCACAAGATAATACTGTATGAATCAAAAGAACAAAAGGAAAAATAAATCAAGCCACACACACCTATAATTCCAGCTACTCAGGAGGTGGAATCAGGAGGAACACAAATTTGAGGCCAGGCTAGGCAAAGTTAGGGAGACCCTTTCTCAAAAACAACAGAAAACAAAAGATCTGGGGGCACAGCTCAAGTGATAGAGGGCCTGCCTCACAAGCAGAATGACCTGAGTTCAATGCCCTATATTGGGGAGGGGGGAGGAAGAAAAAATCATAGGCTATTTCAAATTTAGAGTGTATATATATGTGTATATATATATATATATATATATATTTTTTTTTTTTTTTTTTTTTTTTTTTTTTTGGCTTTTTGAGTCAGGACCTTGCTATGCAATCCAGGCTGGCCTTGAACTCATGATCTTCCTGCCTCTGCCTCCCCAGTTGTGAATGCTGGAATCACAAGTGTGTGCCACCTGCTAGTCTGTATTGAGTTTCTGTGAAGAAACTCAAGAGATCTGCTTTAGCATTTGAAGAAGCAATTCCAAGTTTAAATAGTAATTTATATTAAAAAAATTACTAACTTTGGAAGAGCTCTTAAGATTATTTTTTGAAGAGGTTGCAAAGAGTTACAATTAACACAAAATTAAAGGTCATAACAGTAATTCCTCATTTTCCCAGAGGTTGTATATTAAAAGCAATGACAGTGAAGGGATGGAAAAATGGATAATTGCAAAGATGGTAAGTACCACTGGAAACTTTTCTTTGCCTTGCACTGACACAGTCTGTTTCTTGTCCTGCTATGCATTAGTACTGATGTCTTCCACAAACAGTTCTCTGTGTTCACTACCTGCTGGCGTAGTGTTTAACTCCCTAACTGTAATGGAAGAGCAGAAGCAGACTATTTAACTGGGATTTTGACATCAGAAGTTTTCTTTTTATAAAATCATGTCTAGTACTGTCTAAGGTACTTAGTTTAGAATACTAAAACATGCTTTTCAGAAGCTGCATTTAAAAAAATCAGTATTTTTTGATGGGTATTATTAGCATTTTCATCATCAAAACCAACATTTTGTTCATGTTCCAGTCTTTTCCAAATACTATACTCTAATCCTGTAGTCTGATCATATTACTCCACTGTTTAAAAACCTCTCAGAAGAATCTTTACTCCTTTGTCTGACACAGGAGTCCCTTTCAAAACTGAACTTGGGTCCTTTTCCTACACTCAAGATCTCACAAAGCCTCCCCAGTTCACTTGGAGTCAAAGTCATAATCCTTATAGTTCCTTAATAATATGTACTTCTTCCCTTCTGACTTAATCTCCTACTATTACTCTACTTTGCCTTGCTCTGGATATCGTTCTGTTCTTGGGACATACCTTAGTATTTCTGTTATAATTGTCCCTTCTTTCTGGAGTGCTCTCCTCCAAAAAATCTATGGATATCTTTCTGTTCTTGGGACATACCTTAGTATTTCTGTTATAATTGTCCCTTCTTTCTGGAGTGCTCTCCTCCAAAAAAAATCTATGGCCTTACTACCTTTAAATGTTTTCCCATATTTCTTTTCTCACTGAAGCGCCCCTTAAACTTACTATAAATATCACAGCCTCTTCTTTTCCCTATACACTCCAGACACCGTTTATCAGCTCTACTTCCTATTTTTCCCTGTAACACTTACTAGCTTAGAAAATAGCACAGTTGACTTATTACTTACAGACTTTTTTTCTCTGTTGGACTGTACTTTCCCAGAGAGCAATTTTAGTCATTGAGGTATCCCAAGTACCTAGAATAGTGCCTAACACATTGCCAGGCACTAAATAAATGATAAGTTTTTCACATTTGTTATTCCAAATTTGAATACAAAAGTGAAAGCAGATCTCACACTTCGTATTCCTCCAACATGAATATAAGGTTTAATTACATTTGTAGCTGCCACAATTCCTATTTGGTACTGCCTTAGTTAGGGGCCTTAATTACTTCTTTTTTTTTTTTTTCCGACTTCAAGTCCCTGCAACTGTAATAGCACAGGGCCTGCCTCAGATTTTATTTTTTTTTCTCCATTTTTCTTTTATTATTCATATGTGCATACAAGGATTGGTTCATTTCTCCCCACTGCCCCCACCCCCTCCCTTACCACCCACTCAATACCCAGCAGAAACTATTTTGCCCTTATTTCTAATTTTGTTGTAGAGAGAGTATAAGCAATAATAAGAAGGAACAAGGGTTTTTGCTGGTTGAGATAAGGATAGCTATTCAGGGCATTGACTCACATTGATTTCCTGTGCGTGGGTGTTACCTTCTAGGCTAATTCTTTTTTGATCTCACCTTTTCTCTGGTACCTGTTCCCCTTTTCCTATTGGCCTCAGTTGCTTTAAGCTATCTGCTTTAGTTTCTCTGCGTTAAGGGCAACAAATGCTAGCTAGTTTTTTAGGTGTCTTACCTATCCTCACCCCTCCCTTGTGTGCTCTCGCTTTTATCATGTGCTCATAGTCCAATCCCCTTGTTGTGTTTGAACCAATAAAGAAATGGGCACGTGAACTAAACAGACCTTTCTCAAAAGAAGAAATTCAAATGGCCAGAAAACACATGAAAAAATGCTCACCATCTCTAGCAATAAAGGAAATGCAAATTAAAACCACGCTAAGATTCCACCTCACCCCTGTTAGAATAGCCACCATCAGCAACACCACCAACAACAGGTGTTGGCGAGGATGCGGGGGAAAAAGGAACCCTCTTACACTGTTGGTGGGAATGTAGACTAGTACAACCACTCTGGAAAAAAATTTGGAGGCTACTTAAAAAGCTGGACATCGATCTACCATTTGATCCAGCAATACCACTCTTGGGGATATACCCAAAAGACTGTTACTCCAGAGGCACCTGCACATCCATGTTTATTGCAGCACTATTCACAATAGCCAAGTTATGGAAACAGCCAAGATGCCCCACCACTGACGAATGGATTAAGAAAATGTGGTATCTATACACAATGGAATTTTATGCAGCCATGAAGAAGAACGAAATGTTATCATTCGCTGGTAAATGGATGGAATTGGAGAACATCATTCTGAGTGAGGTTAGCCTGGCTCAAAAAACCAAAAATCGTATGTTCTCCCTCATATGTGGACATTAGATCAAGGGCAAACACAACAAGGGGATTGGACTATGAGCACATGATAAAAGCGAGAGCACACAAGGGAGGGGTGAGGATAGGTAAGACACCTAAAAAACTAGCTAGCATTTGTTGCCCTTAACGCAGAAAACTAAAGCAGATACCTTAAAGCAACTGAGGCCAATAGGAAAAGGGGAACAGGTACTAGAGAAAAGGTTAGATCAAAAAGAATTAACCTAGAAGGTAACACCCACGCACAGGAAATCAATGTGAGTCAATGCCCTGTATAGCTATCCTTATCTCAACCAGCAAAAACCCCTGTTCCTTCCTATTATTGCTTATACTCTCTCTACAACAAAATTAGAAATAAGGGCAAAATAGTTTCTGCTGGGTATTGGGGGGGTAGAGGGAGGGGGCGGAGTGGGTGGTAAGGGAGGGGGTGGGGGCGGGGGGAGAAATGAACCAAGCCTTGAATGCACATATGAATAATAAAAGAAAAAAAAAAGAAAATACCCAACACAAAAAAAAAAGAAAAAAAAAAAATCTAAACATAGACCTGCCATATGCTCCAGCAATCCCACTCTTGGGGATATACCCAAAGGAATGCAACTCAGGTTATTCCAAAGGTACCTCCACACCCATGTTTATTGCAGCACTATTCACAATAGCCAAGTTATGAAAACAACCAAGATGCCTCACTACTGATGAATGGATTTAGAAAATGTGGTACTTGTACACAATGGAATTTTACCCAGCCATGAAGAAAAATGAAATCTTATCATTTGTATGTAAATGGATGGAACTGGAGAACATCATTCTGAGTGAGGTCAGCCAGGCTCAGAAGACAAAAAATCATGTTCTCCCTCATATGTGGACTTTAGATCTAGGGCAAATGCAGCAATGTTGTTGGACTTGGATCACAAGAAAAGGGGAGAGCACATATGGGGGATATAGGAATAGGTCTAAAGAGGGTTCCTCCTTCACATGGTTGTCAGAATTATCTATGCAAAAGCAAAAATGTAAATCAGATACTCCACTGCTGAAAAATTTAACTTTGAAAATAAGGTTTTTACTTCTTAAGATAGGTGCTCTGTAATCTAACTTCCATTTAATTTATAAGACTCATCTTCCACCTTTTCTTAAATCCCCATATTGCCAGAGTAGAACATACCTTTTATTTTTTACTTTGTACCTACTATACTCTGATTTGAATATCCTATCCTTTATTCATCTCGATTGCTGATATCGTTCATGACCCAAGACAAATGCCACATAGCATCCTGTATTAAAAACACTGCATTTATGTTTGTGTCTATTTACCCCACTAATCTGTTGATCCCTTGGTTTTATTCATCTTCTGTACTCTACACTCAATTCGTTTTAAACTTCTAGTAGGGTATGACATGTAGAAAGCATTAAGTAAATTTGGTAGATTTAAAAGATTTAATATTTTCTCAGATTATTATTAAAGTTCTATAGTGCAATCAGATTAGTAAATTATTTTTCAAGATAGAGTGTATCCTAATCAAGGCCTGGAAACTGGAATCTGAGGCTATCATTAAAAAAATAAAACACCAAACATTTACATCCCAACTATGAGAGCCTAAATTACAGAGTGACTTTTAATTGCTGTTAGATCAAATTAGATCCTGGTCAATATTCATTTTTAGGTCTCAGAAATCCCTTTAAAATTAATGTTAAAGATGAAGTATATGACCTGAAACTGTGATCAAAACAACTTTCCCGATGAGATAAGTGGCCTGAAAAAAGTGTATTACAGCTAAATGATTAAAAATTTTCCTTAATTTTTAAGGAAAATTTGCATCTTCTTACTTCCCACTGGGGAAAATTTACACCAAATGTATCCCCCTCCTCCTTATTTGTGGTGCTTAGCTATGAACCCAGGGCCTCACTCATACTAGCAAGTGCTATACCACTGAGTAACACCACCCCCACCAGAAAAATCACTTGTAATATACGGATAACCTTACCTATTTCCCAGAAGCCCAATGAGATTTAATTATTTACAGTGGATATCTGCCTGAGATACAATATGAGCAGAGAGACTAACAGCTTGGAAAATGTGCCGAATTTTATTTGCTATGTATGAAAAATTACTTGGAAGAATGCTTTAAGAATGTGCTTTGCACACTTTCCCTGTCCAACCATTAAGGAGATGAGACAAAGGAAAAAGACTAGCCAAGAGTTAGTATCCTTCCTAAATCCCTGTTGGAGAATCTGGAGTGCATTTTAGAAAATAAAATATTTACTTTACAGAAGACACACGGGATTCTGATAGGCAAGCAATTCGGAAGTCTAGGTTATCACCTCTGCATCTGTTAACAAGTCAGTGGTCCACCTGACCCCAGTCCTTCTTTCCCAGGTTTAAAAAGGCCGATCCCTGGGTAGGCTCAGAGGGGCAGCACCGGCAAGCCTGGTGGTCTGAACACATTTATTTGGCTCCCAGTGGCTACGCCGCATCTAAATCTGGGCGTTTGTGAGTCCAAGCCAAGCGTGCGGACCTACGCTTGGAATGGGTGCACACCCGGCCAAACCTGGGGACTCAGCCAAGGGAAGGGCTGGGGGCGTGTGGGGAGGGGCTCTCAAACACGTAACGAGCGGGGCAAAGTCTCCTCCACAATTGCACAAATGCAGAAACTCCCCCCTGCAGGGAAGACCCCCTCCCTCCCCCCCGCCACGCACCACGTGCAATGCTGGTGCCACCCAGGAGAGGAAGAGGGTAGGCCCAGGCCCCGTGCTGTGGCGCGCAGTCATGGCGGCCCTGCCCCCGCAGCCATCCATTCCCAAGCCCGACCCTCCAGTCAGCCTTTCCGTGAACGCAGAGGTCTCGTCACGTCTTAACCGGTACCTCGGAGGGGAAACACCTCGCTACTAACCTCGCGGCCTTCCCCAGCGCCGGGGTGCGGACGGAGCCCCCAGGCTTCCCGTGACGCGCGCAGGTTCCCCCACCTGCACTCACGCACCAGCTGAGGGGCCTTCAAGGGCTGCGCTGGGTCCAGCAGCTTCAGAAAACCCGCAGAAAAGGAAATTTCCGTAAAGCCGCGGGCTGAAACGGCGAGAACTTTACACTATTGGTACAGAGTAGAGAGGGGGCGGGCCAATAGGCTTTCCTTTATGTCCACTGGATACCACATCCGTCAATTATTAGGCCACTTTGGATGGGCGGGGCTCCGTGAGTGGCGCGGAGAGCGGCCTTAGCAACGGCTTTCGAGCTGTGAACGTCGCAGTTGCTCTGTGCAGCGGGCGGGTTGGGAACATGGTGAGTGCCATGCTGTAACCTCCGCCTGGGCGTGGGACTAGAGCTCAGGTTTTCCCCAGAACAAGGAAGGGATTTTATGTATTTATGAAACGTGTTATTTGCCTCCGTTTCGTGATCCTTGTGTGTCATTAGTGATCCTTCAAGCGCCAAATGGGAACGGATTTTCTGTGACCCAGAGACAGAAGAAAGGGTCTCCAGGTCCTTTCCTCCCTCATCAGCCCCATCCGCCGCTAATACCAACACTCCACAAGCGGGTCGAGTGTGGGCGTCCGCGGGGTGGCCTCGTGGCGGGGAAGGCGAGGATTCAGAAAGCTACCCTGGAGGACCACGGCCTGAATGGAGAAGCCGTCAGATGCCAGGAGCTGCAGCAGAGCCTGAGGACTTAATAGGGACCTGCCAACTGCAAGATGACCTCCACCTTCCACGTGTTAGGTGGATACTGACCATGCCCCAACGTGGTTATTTTTATACGGGTCCTTGAAGGAGTGTTTCACCTAAAACGTGGTTTTAAACTTTTCTGTCTGCTAGAAGAGGTTGGGAGAGGATTCTGTGTTCCAATCAAGCATCCCCCCCCAAACAAGCAAATTTTATTATGAAACCTAGGTGTACATGAAAGCAAATAATCCTTAAACGGATGCTTTTCGGATATATCAAGTTAGGCTAATTGCATTGTGACCTAAGACCATCCACCATTCATCTTCCTTTGCTTTTCCTCCTTCTCAAAAGGCATTAGGTTTTTGGTTTTGTTTTGTTTTTCGGCAGTTCTGGGGTTTGAACTCAAGGCCTGCTGCTTGCTGCACTGCATACAACTTAAACAGCACTCTAGTCCTTTAGTGTTTTCCTCTTTTGCCAGGGTAACCTTGGATTGAACTCCTTCTACCTCTACCTCCAAGTACCTGGAATTACATTCATGAGCCACTGTTCCCATCTTGTTCTTTGAGATAGGGCCTTCCTAACTTTTTGCCTGGGCTGGCCTTGAACTTTAATTCATCCTCCTATCTCTGCCTCTCAAGTAGCTGGAATTATAGACTCAAGCCACTGCACCCAGATAAAAATGCACTGATTTCAAGGAAAAATCTTAAGTGTTTAAAAAGGACTGGCTTTCCACCCAAAGCATAAATATTAGCAAGGGGAAAGGGAGAAACTGTTGATGTCATCAGGTAGCAGGAAATAGGATGCTGTTCATGTTCATTTATTACATTTAAAAGGTTCATCAGTTATTCTAATTAAAAAGTTTTTTGTTCACCTATATGTATATTTATTACAGGCATCCTACTCCTGCACAAGTTCAGGCCAATGGAAGAAAAAAGCAACAAAAATTGAATTGAATGAAATCCAAAAGCAAGAAATTAAAGGGGCTTTTGACTTATTCGATGTTGATGGGTCTGGAACCATAGATGTGAAAGAACTGAAGGTTCTGAAATTATTTCTAATTCTAAGACATGTAAAAAGCTGTACACTAATTGTATGAGGAATACACTGTGACACTTCTGAACAACCTTACCTTGAACATCAGCTAGATTTGCCCCGTCATCTCTCCCCTGATCCCCTCCCTACCCCATCTAAAACAGTTGTGAAAGGTACATAGACCATATTCCCCCTCCTTCATCTCCTCCATTCCCCTCCCCTCCTCTCACAAGTACCTCCAGGATCTATTTTACAGTCTTGACCTTTGTTTCTAATTCCCAAGTTTTTGTGGAACTTTTTTAGGGGAAGATTTGACGCAGGGCCTTGGGCCTGCTAGACAAACAATTGTACCACTGATCTATACTGCCAGCCCATATTTGTGGGAATCTTTAAGCCTTCGTTTAATAGTAGACTTCTGAAGCCTTGATATAAAGCCTCTGCACTGCACTGCCAAAATAATGTTGTGTTAAACATTTCAATTGTGTTTTATATATAAGTAGGCCAAAGCCCAGAGTGTAACAATGATGTTACACTTTATGTCACAGTAGGATTGGAACCTAGGTCTGATGACCTAATTTTCTAGCTTTATGCAGAGACAGAGAGAGAGAGAGAAGCTATTAGTAAGTAAAAATATCAGAATGAGATCATGGCAAATTAAATTTTATTTCCTTCCTATTTCAGATTGCAATGCGGGCCTTAGGATTTGAACCAAAGAAAGAAGAAATTAAACAAATGATAGCTGAAATCGACAAAGAAGGAACTGGCACAATTAGTTTTGAAGATTTTTATGCCATTATGTGTATAAAGATGGTATAGTCATTTTACTTTTCAAAGAAATACAAGCAGTACTGCAATTAGAAGCTTCATAGCAATTAGAGGTTTCATAGATTTGGATCTAGGTGTTTAAGGATGGTGAGATTCAGATAGGAATAGCAAGATTAAAGATGACTTCAGGGTGGTACTGAAAAGACTGGTATGGAGAAGAGAATTTTGTCAGGAAATAATGAGGATACATGACAGAATAGACTAGGGTCATATATTTGGCAAGCATTTTGAGTACCTATTTTTGCCAGGCACTATTCTAAGGAGTCTTGAATGGGTTGAACTTCTTGTTCTCTTGGAGCCTACATTTTTGGAAATGGACTGAATTAAGGGTTAATAAGAGGCACATTTTGTTTACCACCCAGTGCCTCTTCCTGCTTTCCATAAGTGATGCATTTAAGCACCTTGAGGGCAGATGGGAGTACACTGGAATAATTTTATCCAGGACTTGGTGGTGCACACCTGTAACCCCAGGACTTGAGAGGCTAAGGCAGGAGGATTACCAATTTGAGGACTGGGCTACATAGTAAGACCCTGTTTCAATAAGAAAAAATGCAATAAAGTCAGAGCTTAGCTTCCTGGTACATGACAGCTCTAGAACTGTGGCCAGCTTGACAGAATAAAGGAATAAATGAAAGACTAGGGACAGCCTCCCTGCTCTTGTCACTTACATTTCATTTTTTTAAAGAGTGAAAAAGATGAGAAAGAAGAAATATTGAAGGCTTTCAAATTATTTGATGATGATGATACTGGAAGCATATCACTAAATAACATCAAGAGGGTTGCCAAGGAGCTAGGGGAAAATCTAACAGATGATGAACTTCAGGTAAACCCTGCTTATTTTATAAGCAGAATTATAATTTTATATAATAATTTATATACTGTATTCTAAGTTTGACTATAAGTTAAAAATAAAATTTCATTTTGAGTGTATTTTGAATATTCACTTACATCATTTGTTTTTCTTTTTGGTGGTACTGGTGATTGAACTTGAAGCCTCAGGTGTGGTAGGCCACACCTGCAGCTCTCATTACTCATTTTTCATAGATTTCATGTATCATGTTACATTTTGTTTTACAGGAAATGCTTGATGAAGCTGATCGTGATGGGGATGGAGAAATAAATGAGGAAGAATTTTTGAGAATGATGAAAAAGACAAGTCTTTATTAACACTGATTTTTGTGCCTTCTAAAAATTGTTAGCAAATTTATATTGTTACACAGTTCAATAATGTGATACCTGAATGCATTCATTTTCAGTTTTTAGTTTACATACACATATTGGCCTATTTATGTATAATCCATGTGAGAAGTTACATTTCTACCAATATGTTGCTTAATCTACGGCATCAAGAAACAAAACTACTTTGGACCATGAATCCAAGAACCATATTCATCACAGTTGCTATTTTTTAAAGCCCCAGGTTCCAAAGAGAATTCTTTTTTTTTATGAAGTTGGTCCCATATTCAAATGAATTTGGCAAAAAAAAATTGCTTTCCCAATTATTTTCCTTTGATGCAACTCTAAAGAAACTGATGAACATTGGCTTTTTAAACCAATTCTTCAAATGAAAGTATTAAATAAGACTGTCTGACAACTACATTATTTACTAATGTTCTTCTAATGGTTATTGCTGTGGTTTGAATGTGTTCCCTCCGAATTTCAGGTGTTGCCAAAGTGATTGTGTTAAAGGTGGGACCTTTAAGAGGGGATTAGGCTGTGAAGGCTGCTCCTTCCTTAAAGGGATGAAGGCCCTTTTAAAAGAGGCCTTCTTGCCCTTCAGCCTTCAGCCATGGGAAGACACAGAAAGAAGGCACTCACTATATCACTACATCTTGGACTTCCTAGCCTCCAGAGCTATGAGAAATATTTGTTCTTTCTAAATCACTACCCACTCTATTATCATTGTAAGTTACCTAGTTAATGGACTGAGACAATTCTCCAGGCACCTGGAATCCAGAATCATCAAGAGACCGATGGAAACCGATTACCATGTGAACTAAATCTTTGACTTAGCTTTAACTAACATCCAATTTACAGATGAGATCTACATCTAATTCATCATTATAAACTTCATAGCACATGGCATATACTAGACAAAATTTTTTTGAGACCATTTCTCATTGCATAGTCCAAGCTGACCTGGAACTCACTATGCAGCCCAGATTGGCCTTGAATTCATTCTCCTGCCCCTGTTGGGATTACAGGTGTACACCACCTCACCAGACTCACAATCCAAAAGTTTTGATGTTAAGTGATTGAAATGATTTTCCCTTTATCGTCCATAAGTAAGCATTGTTCTAATGTTGGCCACCTATGTAACAACTTCTGAAATTGTTCAAATACTGTTGGGTTTGATTTCTCTCTGAAGAGAGGAGGGGAATGTAGAGAACTATAGAAAACTGAATGGATTTCAGATTAAAGTAAATTTTGAGACCTTTGGCCAAAATGCTCCAAGCCTTGTATTTGACATATAAGATGGAAACCTCATCTTCTACCTGCTCTTATAAGACTGTGAAACCATAAAATAGTCATACTTTTCTTTTTTTTTTAATTTATAAACCTCAAAAATATTTTTGCAGGGGAACATTTTGAGATGTAAGCATCCTATAAAAATCTCAATTTATCCACTGTGGTTGAGGTAATTCCTGCCAGGGCAAGCACAGATTGAGTATGTTACAGAATAGTTCAAGAGTTCTGGTTTGGGAGCAATTTTCCTGTTCAAGCAATATTCCCAAGGCCATTTTGGGTGTTTTAGACATTTTAGTTAGGTACATGAGAGTTAATCCCTAGACCTAAGGCTCATAAACCTCTTGTTTCAGCATGGGATTAAATCCAGATCATCTCAACTAAATGTGAAGATTATGTTTCAAATGGAAGAGTTAAAAAATTCCCCCTTTTTTAAAGCTGTGGTTTGAACTAGACCTTGTGCTTGCTAGGCAAGCACTCTGCCACTTGAGCCATTTCCATGGCCTTTTTTGTTTTATTTTTTTTGATAGGGTCTCCTGTTTTTGCCCAGGGTTGACCTTAGACTGCAATCTTCCTACCTACACCAAGTGCTTATGTGGGATCATAGGGGTGCACAACTGTGTCTGGCTTCTTTGTTGAGATGGGGCCTTGATAGATTTTTTTTCCAGGTCTGGCCTCCCAACAGTGATCCTCCTGATCTTCACCTCCTGAATAGCTGGGATTACAGATGTGAGCCACTGTACCTGGCCCCTTTTTCTTTTTCTTGCTCTCAAAATTAAGCTACAGTCTGGTAGGAGTAATATCACTGTGAAACTAAGTTCTATATATGGTAGAGATTGTCAGGTGCTGGTGGCTCATGCCTATTATCCTTGCTACTCAGGCGGTAGAGATCAGGAGGATTGAGGTTTGAAGCCAGCTGAGGCAAATAGTTCAAGGGATCCTACTTAGAAAATACCTGATACAAAGTAGGGCTGGTGGAGTGGCTCAAGTGTAGAGCACCTGCCTAGCTAATCATGAGGCCCTGAGAAGGAAAACTGCCAAACACATTTTATGAAGCCACTATTACACTTATCCCAAAACCAGGCAAAGACACCTCCAAAAAGGAGAACTATAGGCCAATCTCCTTAATGAACATTGATGCAAAAATCCTCAACAAAATAATGGCAAATCGAATTCAGGCAACACATCAAAAAGATTATTCACCACGACCAGGTAGGCTTCATCCCAGGGATGCAGGGGTGGTTCAACATACGAAATCATAAACGTAATAACCACATTAACAGAAGCAAAGACAAAAACCACTTGATCATCTCAATAGATGCAGAAAAAGCCTTTGATAAGATCCAACATCATTTCATGATAAAAGCTCTAAGAAAACTAGGAATAGAAGGAAAGTTCCTCAACATTATAAAAGCTATATATGACAAACCTACAGCCAGCATTATACTTAACGGAGAAAATAAAAACCATTCCCTCTAAAATCAGAACCAGACAAGGATGCCCACTATCTCCACTCCTATTCAACATAGTACTGGAATTCCTAGCCAGAGCAATTAGGCAAGAAGAAGGAATAAAAGGAATACAAATAGGTAAAGAAACTGTCAAAATATCCCTATTTGCAGACGACATGATCCTATACCTTAAAGACCCAAAAAACTCTACTCAGAAGCTTCTAGACATCATCAATAGCTATAGCAAGGTAGCAGGATATAAAATCAACATAGAAAATCATTAGCATTTCTATACACTAACAATGAGCAAACGGAAAAAGAATGTATGAAAACAATTCCATTTACAATAGCCTCAAAAAAATCAAATACCTAGGTGTAAACCTAACAAAAGATGTGAAAGACCTCTACAAGGAAAACTATACACTTCTGAAGAAAGAGATTGAGGGACTATAGAAGTGGAGAGATCTCCCATGCTCATGATTGGTAGAATCAACATAGTAAAAATGTCTATACTCCCAAAAGTAATCTACATGTTTAATGCAATTCCCATCAAAATTCCAATGACATTCATTAAAGAGATTGAAAAATCTACTGTTAAATTTATATGGAAACACAAGAGGCCACGAATAGCCAAGGCAATACTCAGTCAAAAGAACAATGCAGGAGTATCACAATACCTGACTTCAAACTATATTACAAAGCAATACAATAAAACAGCATGGTACTGCACAAAAACAGACATGAAGACCAGTGGAACAGAATAGAGGATCCAGATATGAAGCCACACAACTATGAAGCAACTTATCTTTGACAAAGGAGCTAAAAATATACGATGGAGAAATAGCAGCCTCTTCAACAAAAACTGCTGGGAAAACTGGTTAGCAGTCTGCAAAAAACTGAAAACTAGATCCATGTATATCACCCTATACCAAGATTAACTCAAAATGGATCAAGGATCTTAATATCAGACCCCAAACTCTTAAGTTGATACAAGAAAGAGTAGGAAATACTCTGTTAGTAGGGTAAGAACTTTCTCAATGAAACCCCAGCAGCACAGCAACTAAGAGATAAGATAGATAAATGGGACCTCTAAAACTAAAAGCTTCTGTTCATCAAAAGAAATGGTCTCTAAACTGAAGAGAATACCCACAGAGTGGGAGAAAATATTTGCCAACTATACATCAGACAAAGGACTGATAACCAGAATATACAGGGAACTTAAAAAACTAAATTCTCCCAAAACTAATGAACCAATAAAGAAATGGGCAGTGAACTAAACAGAACTTTCTCAAAAGAAGAAATTCAAATGGCCAGAAAAACACATGAAAAATGCTCACCATCTCTAGCAATAAAGGAAATGCAAATTAAAACCACACTAAGATTCCACCTCACCCCTGTTAGAATAGCCATCATCAGCAACACCACCAACAACAGGTGTTGGCGAGGATGCGGGGAAAAAGGAACCCTCTTACACTGTTGGTGGGAATGTAGACTAGTACAACCACTCTGGAAAAAAATTTGGAGGCTACTTAAAAAGCTGGACATCGATCTACCATTTGATCCAGCAATACCACTCTTGGGATATACCCAAAAGACTGTTACTCCAGAGGCACCTGCACATCCATGTTTATTGCGGCACTATTCACAATAGCCAAGTTATGGAAACAGCCAAGATGCCCAGCACTGACGAATGGATTAAGAAAATGTGGTATCTATACACAATGGAATTTTATGCAGCCATGAAGAAGAACGAAATGTTATCATTCGCTGGTAAATGGATGGAATTGGAGAACATCATTCTGAGTGAGGTTAGCCTGGCTCAAAAGACCAAAAATCGTATGTTCTCCCTCATATGTGGACATTAGATCAAGGGCAAACACAACAAGGGGATTGGACTATGAGCACATGATAAAAGCGAGAGCACACAAGGGAGGGGTGAGGATAGGTAAGACACCTAAAAAACTAGCTAGCATTTGTTGCCCTTAATGCAGAGAAACTAAAGCAGATACCTTAAAGCAACTGAGGCCAATAGGAAAAGGGGACCAGGAACTAGAGAAAAGGTTAGATCAAAAAGAATTAACCTAGAAGGTAACACCCACGCACAGGAAATCAATGTGAGTCAATGCCCTGTATAGCTATCCTTATCTCAACCAGCAAAACCCCTTGTTCCTTCCTATTATTGCTTATACTCTCTCTACAACAAAATTAGAGATAAGGGCAAAATAGTTTCTGCTGGGTATTGAGGGGGGGAGCCGGAGGGGGTGGAG